CAATGGATGTAATCTTTCATTAGAACGGTTTGAATCTATTGTTGAAAAACTTGTTTGTATTAGATAATCAAAATTACTTTAGCATCTCGTCATAGTCACATCTAATATAGTTACCACTTTAATAACCCATTTATCATAAAATATAACTTTTATAATTACTAGATTCTTGTTTCCCGTTCTTGTGATTATAACGAGGCGACTGTATTCTTTTTTACCTCTTTTGTAAAATTCCAGAGTAAATCGCATTGAATTGTGTAAATAATTTCAACAAAACTTCAATTTTTTATTTCCCCAAAATCATATTTTTGCAAGATAGTTAACCTTTCAAAAGGAATCCATTCGAATAATTTATATTTTCTAATTTGTTGCATTCTTTTATTAGGTTATCGATATTACCAATTTATAAATTTGCTTGTGTTATATTATATTAAGGAGCATTCAATCGTACAATTATGAAACTACATGTACACACAATAATGTTATACATATCTGGCCATACATGTATCGTTCGATATTGTTGTGTATTCTGCAGACTGACAAAAGGTTTTATTTCATGTTTAAATAATACATAGAATTTTGAGAATCGTTATATGTTGCTCTATTGACAAGACTAAGATCGAAACAGTGTTTTAAAAAATAATATATAGACTCCTGCTATCTAATCACTATCACTTTACAATCAAAGCGCCAAGTTTATATAAAGCATATAACGAAGATTATATTTTTTATTCTTTGCATCAATTAAATACAATGATTTCTAACAAAATTTTACCATTATATTTAATTCATGTTTTCGATTAATTTTTGTCAATATTTAATAAAGGAATCCTTAAAATTTATATTCAGTTCGGATACAATAATAAGACTCGATTTAATCATGGAAATTTTCATCAATATGAAATTGATCCCGGGGTGGCATCCCGAAATCATAAACCCGACAAACGACACGAAAGGAACCCGAAAGCAAAGGGCATTCCAAATACAAGTCAATCTCATTACATGTACAGTGACTCACAAAAGAAATGCAACACGAAAAGTTTTACGAAAAGAAATTCTAGTGACTCTAACATCGATTCAGA